CTAGGGCCTTTGTTTCCTCTGGAGAAAAAATGGTCCAAAGACGTAATGGCTTAAAATAATTTTCTTCCCTCTCTCTTTTGAAAGAAAACCACTTTTTTTTCTATAGTAAATCTTTCAAAATGAACAGTCTTGCCATGTTTGATGGAGGTGAACAGAAGCACATTTTGTATGAACAGAGTAGGATGCAGATTGCGAGAATTCATTTGCCTGGCTACAGGTCTCTGTGGGGCTGAGAGAGACAGAGAACCTGATTCAAGCAGATTCATGTCCTACTTCCAGTTCACAATAGTCTGGAGATAAGGCCTCCCCTGCAGTAAAAGCAAGGCTCATTTACCCAGCATTGCAATAAATATTACCAGTGTATTGTTTCTGCCAAGACTTTACAGCAAGGTACCAATTGCTTGCTCGACACAGGGCTGTGAAAACAAACGAGCAGCACTCGTAATCTGCCTTTCTTGTCAGTGTGTGGACATAGCAGCTGGGTGTTCCTACCTGTGCTTAACTCAGATTAAGGAGTGTGTGGCAAAATGGTGCTGCAGACAAAGTAGTTTTCACAATTATCTCCTGGAATTACACAGTGAGACATATAATTGAAATGTTTTGGGGATTTATAGTCTTCTGACCTGAATAAAGTGGAAAATGGTAGTGTCTTTGTTCTGGCTTTGCTTCCTGTTACTTAGCTCAAGGTAAGGACATGATAGTCTCCGAGCACAAAGAAAACTAGATGCTTTATAGCCTAGATAGGAAGAACGGTTTCCCAAGGAAACTGAAGGAGAACAGCATTAAGGTAAAGTCTCTTGGTAATTTATTATTTGTATTATGAAAGATACTTTTTTTTCCTCTTATATGCTTTACAAATCAGAGAGAAAAGACAAGTCTTTGTGCTAAAAAATAAAATGTTTTAAATAAGTTAATTCCAAGGTAGCATGAAACCATTTTTCTGGATATCAAAGGAATACAGCATTTACCCTGACATTTCCTAAGTGATGTTCTTTCTTTGCATAGTTATTCCAAGTACCATATACTGCCCTCACCATGTTTCTCAGCACAGACCAGAAGGAGAGAGATTCTGCAACAGCATACCGTGAGTGAGATCTGGGGTTTCTCATATGGATTAAGGCTGAGCTTTATTTAAAATTATTCTGTGTCTATAGGAAGTTCCTAACGGTTTGTGTCCCTAAACTGGACTTTTATATGAGATTTTTAATATCTGATAAGATTATTTTGTCTTGCAAACGCTTCCATTTTTCTAGCTAAATAGGAGGCATTAATGTTTTGTTGTCTCAAATTGTCTGATTAGCTATAAACTCTTTTCAGTTTATTGCTAGCCAGACAAAACAATAAAAATCACTCTTCCCCAAGCCAGGATGGGGAATAATGATTTCATTTAAAGGTGATTTGTAGAGGGAAAAACAAAGTGCAGATCTTTGTTAACATTCAATTAAAGAAAGCCTGAAAGTAATTTTGAGGAGTTTTGTTTGTTTGTACCTCCTTAGGTTTGTGTTTCATGTTATAAATTCAAAACTCCAAGCTGTTTTCTCTGAAAAAAATTTTAGAACTCATAGAGCCAAGACAGTTAACCCCACCAAAAAAGGAGAGTAATTTTTTGTGCGTGTTCACACCAACTGAAATCTCTCTTTTCATTTCATCAATCCGTGTTTATTTCTAGCATGTCCCAGGTAGTTTAACGACAGATCTTGCCGTAATGTAACTAGTACCCTGACTGTATTAATTAAAAGAATGAGAGCTTCTAGACCATATCTGTCTCTTCAACAATCAAAACCAAAGCTTTGCTTTGAAAAAATCAGTCAGACCAAACAAGTGCAATGAAAATCTTTTCAATATTTCCTGTATAGATCATAAATTGAATGTAAGAAGAATTTCTTCCCTTCCTACTCTCTTCAGCTCTCTTCTCACACCTTCTTTATTATGTAACTGCTGTCTCTCACAGCCACCAGCACTAAGCAAGGTAATGAAAGACTTTTCTCTGCCTTAACTTGTCCTTTGGTGTCACTTTAGAATAACTTGTAATTATTTTTGTTGCATCTGTTTTCTCTTCCTGAAAAGAGCCCTTTTCTCTTTCATCAGTACGTCTAACCCTCAGCATACTTGCTGGAGTATGTTGAAAACTAGACCATAGAGGCACAGTGAAATGGCTAGAAGTTCTAAAAAATTACGTCAGTAATTCTAGACACAATATTCCCCAAGCAACCCAATCCCTTTCCAGCCACATGGAACAGTTGTAATTTGCATTATCATCAACTGTCTCAAGAGAAAGTCTGGGCTAGCAGTCGTAGAACAGGACTGAACAGCGGGAGATTCCAGTTGTGTTGTATTCTTTGGCACTGACTGTATTCTGAGTCATCTGGCCTAAATTCTAACTAAATCCATGTACCTAGTGTTTTCTATTGTCTGGTTTTATGTCTTCAGAGGCTGTGATCCAAATAAATGTGCTTTCCTATTTGCTAGTCCCATGCAAGGCTTCATAGGCACGTGAAATTTATGCTCATAAAAGCTGTTGAACTCCATGGCTGAGAGGTGTTACACATTTATAGTGTCATTTTATTGTTCAGAAAGGGTTTACATTTTGAGTGTACAGCTGTTCTCCCTGGCCAAGTTGAGGTGGTGGAATAAACCATAGTTTTGACTTTTCAAATGTTGGTATTTTTGTATATTTTTAAATTACATTTTTTTGGAGCCAAGTTTTTTTTGTAATGGCTGTGATTGTGTGAGAATCTCTCCCCCTCCTCCTCTTTTTTTTCAGCAAGTGTTTTACTTAAACACTTTTCTCTCTCTGTGGGTTTCATAGAGAATTCTTCTTGCTGATAGACTTTTGTGGGTGCAGTTGGTTGTTCAGGCATTTCTTCAACTGTTTAAAGAAAACCAGCTGTGTAATATGAAGTGTGCTTTTACAGAAAAAGTTTGGATCAGAGGATCCATTACCCTCTACTGGAGACAAGCAGAACTGCTTATTACAAATCTTGTCCTGTTTCTTACTATAAATGTATGGTAGAAATACCGGATTCCAAAGTTGCTTTGGAGTATAAATCCTACTTAAATCCTACATAAATCCTACTTAAATTCTGAGCAAAATATAATGTAATTCAAGGACAGTCTGCTATCTGAATGCTCAGCTTTTTCAGTTAAGGTGAAAAGTAATATAACATAGATTCTGAGCACACAAGAACTTTGAAATTTGCCTGTTTCTCAGCTCTTGCTGCTACTTAGAAAATGAGGTTTCACAACAGTTGTATTTCTGTTGCCTATAATGATGCTTCTGAACTTATTTCTATGCAAGTGCTTGGTAAAATGCTGATGCAGTAGCCTAGGTAAAGGTTCTAAATGTGTAGACAGTGTTTTGAATGAAAGGTGAGACCCATGTACGTTGCCTTTGCAACATAGTCAACAACTCGGTAGCTCTATGAGGCCCATCTGAGATTAGTTTGTGGTCAAACACTTCAGATCAGGTTGAGGTTAGGATTTCCACCATCTGCCAGCATTTTTCTGTGTATGGACTGAACTGTAACATTGCTAGTAAGATTGGATGTGAAGTTTGGGGAAGAAGATTTTTTGGTTGGTTGGTTGGTTTTTTACCCGCCATTGATTCTGAAGCCTCAAATTTTCCATTCAGAAGCATTCTCTGTTTGGGAACATACTAGCAGTGGTTTAAATGATCCAAGTCTCCTGGGGAACCTCTCTTCCCTTTTCCTTACTTGATCTTCCATAGCTACATGCAACCCTCATTACTGCACTGTTTGAACACGTCGCAGTCTGTGTGCATTGCCCTCCCATTAGGTCGAGAAGTACTTTTATTTCTTTACAAGGATACACAAAAAGACATGTGTCTAAGGTCACCTAGGAAGGGAACTTGAATAAACCTGAACCTAGAAGCTCTTGAAACGCCTGTCACTTCCCAGGAGAGTAAGATAACCACTAGGATACAACCTGCTCTGGAAGCGGCCCTTCAGAGCCCCCTGATGGTGCTTCTGAGAAAGGAACATGGGACTCCTGGGGCCACTGGGAGAGAGTAAGTAGAAAAACCAAGCCTGATGTTTAGGTCAATAAGACCATTCCCTCATAAACAGGAAGTCCTTGGTCTCTGATCCTAATCTGTTCATGTATTCAACCCTATGGATCCTTATGCAAAATGTGGAAATAAGTCTCTGGAGCTAGAAGAGTCATTCCATTTACCTCCCTGCCATGGGGATGCGGGGTATGGCCATATTGCATGGAAACAGGAGTGGCAGGCTTGAAATCTCTTGGGGTGAGAATGGTCAAGAATCCAGATTACTCACCGCTCGCCTGCAGTGGAGTGGTAACAACTAGCTGCCTTGTTGACTGATTTTGGGTACATGAAGCATGAGCTGGATGCCCATAGTTAGATCTTTACATTCCCAAATGGAGGCTTTGGCAGGTTTTTTTAGACGATCCCTGGTTCTGATGGCACTTGGAGTTTTAGTGATTTGAATCATTCTCTTGAGACTGAGGTAGCTGGTTCTGTTTGACTGTGGTCTTAGGCAGTTCAGAACAGCATCTGCTGTTTCCAAGAGCTTTGCAGCTGTATTATTTCAAACATAAGCCTGAGGTAAATATCATTTTATTTTACAGTTGGAGAACCTACAGGTCTGATCAGATTAAGTGGCTTGAAAAACATTTCACAAGTTACTGTAAAGCTTGAGATGAGAAGTCTGATGTTATGGCTCCTTGTCCTGCTTTAGAAAAATGGCATTCAACATTTAAACTGTAGTTTTGTTCCTGTCCTCAGAATGAAAGATTTCTATGTTATCCCCTCGTGGCTCTTAATCTCAACTTGTATAAAAGAGGCTCTTCCATGGAGGCTTCTAAAAGCTGATCAGAAAATAGACGGCAAAACTCTCTTTCCTTGAAATTGTTCTATTACTGACCTTCCAGTTCTGCTGTTCTTGGTATTGCTTTTTCCACATAAAAGAAAATGGTTTGATGAGGTTTCTCTTCAGCGAGACAAATGAGCAAGCTTACAGATGGTAGAGGAATCGAGTTCTCACCCTCAGTGCACATTTGTGCTTCCTTCTTTAGGAATGACGATGGAAGTGCTTGGGACCTTGATTGGAGCTGCACTTCAGGGGCAGATTGTGGCCAGTGCTCATGTCTCTCATCACTGCACTGTGAATCTCCTGGTAAACACAACCAACTCCTGGCATGACACTCCCAGCTTTCCAGACCCCTCAGATCTCCTGTCTCATCAAGTAAGTGTCTATGGGAGCACACTAAAATCTCTTGAGGGGGTAGGTGTGAGTAGGTTCTGTAATATCATATCATCCAGCTGGCTGACTTCCTGAACATGACTTACTTGAGACCCCACCTGGAGTGCTGCGTCCAGCTGTGGACCCCTCAACATCAGAAGGATATTGACCACTTGGAGCGAGTCCAGAGGAGGCCACGAAGATGCTCAGAGGGCTGGAGCACCTCTCCTATGATGCAAGGCTGAGAGAGTTCTGGGCTTGTTCAGCCTGGAGAAGAGAAGGCTCTGGGGAGACCTTATTGCAGCTTTCCAGTACCTGACGGGGCTACAAGGAAGCTGGGGGGACTTTTTACAAGGGCCTGTAATGATAGGACAAGGGGGAATGGGTTTAAATTGAAAGTGGGGAGGTTTAGATTAGATATCAGGAAGAAGTTCTTCCCGGAGAGGGTGGTGAGGCACTGGGACAGGGTGCCCAGGGAAGCTGTGGATGCCCCATCCCTGGGAGTGTTCAAGGCCAGGCTGGATGAGGCTTTGAGCAACCTGGTCTAGTGGAAGGTGTCCCTGCCCATGGCAGAGGGCTTGGAACTAGATGATCTTTAAGGTCCCTTCCAACCCAAACCATCCTGTGATTATGTGAAAAATGGTGACTATAGCAGGATCTGTCAGTTCAGCAACACTGCTTTTCAAAGTAGTTATCACTAGGGATCTCCTGTAGAGAATAATGGCAGTTATGTGAATGAAACTGTACATCCTACTTGGAATCTGTATTCTTGTGATGGTAAAAAGCACTGTTGAAAGTAAGTGGTTGGTAAAGGCAATTAGTGGGAACAGGGCTCAGTGGTTAACTTGTGGAATGAACCTAGATATCCTTGCTTGTTTATTACATTTTCCACAGCAGATTTTTCCTGTAATCCTGAACAAGTAATTGAATCTCTTCATGCTTCAGTTTGCTACTTTTTGAGAAACAGAGAAGGTTTTCTATCTGGGAGAAAATCCTAAAACCTGATCCACACCTCAGTGAACACAATTTGATAGTCTTCCATTGTTTCTAGTGGTCTTGAAACAGGTCATGAATCAAACAATTACCTTGTGTAGCTTTTTTTTCTAAGTCACTTGTGAAATCAGCAATTTGCTGGTTCTGTTTTATCAATTGCTAGATTAATTTTTTTAATATTTTCATCTATTTTTTCTGTCAGTGCATGTACTAACTGATGTATAAAATTTGCTATGAAAAAGGTTCCTTGACCTGAGTTTAATCTCAGGTGCTTGGTGCAAATCAGGATGTGCATAGTCATGCTCTTCTTACTGTAGTTGAATAGCTCCTATTACCACTCTTCAGCAGCAGTAAAATCATGAGCTAAAAGCATGTTTTTATGCAGACTTTGAATTTGCATACCCTGGCACCAGCAATGGTAGTCCAGGAAGGGACCAAGCTATGCTCCCCACCACTCCCAGACACTAATCTCTTCCTCTGTGCTGCTTGGTCCTCCTTTTTTTTTTTGGCAGAGGCCATTGTAAGGCTTCTTAGAGAGCTGATCTGGGAAACTACCAGCAGCTTCTGTAAGTGGCCATGCATTTTATAGCTGATGAAAGCATTTTTGAAGCTGCTTGTTAGGTAACTTCTACTGTGTGTTTTGATAAGACACAGAACATCATCCTGCATTTCTTTTTAGCTTCTAGGACAATGGCTTGATGTAGAAAACTTCTGTGCTATTACACCTCTGTGAATTGTCAAGACAAGTAGCTTGAAAAGGAGTGGAGCAAGCTGAATTTCATTGCCATATTTATGCCATAATCACCCACTTCCACTTTCAGATCTCCTAAATGGCTTTCAAGGAAAAAAACTATATGAACTTGGTTTATTTCCTTTCTGTCTAACATGTGCTTTCCTGTCCTTTTTGAGATAGGAGGGAGATGGACAAAAGCTTCACAGTGAGTTGAATGTCAAGTAGTTTTTGTTTTGAAAAAATATCAAAGATACATGTAGCCTAAAGTAACCAGAGTTTGTAGGTAGAAGTAGTATCTTTCAATAAACTAGCTACACTGGGAAACAGTGGAAAAGCTTTTAGACACACAAACGTTTTTCAGATATGGAGAAGTTGCAGAGTGACTGGAAACTTGTCTTTTTTTTTTTCCCCCCAACTATATGGGTTGATTTAATTAGATATTACCTTCCTCATTTCACTTTCTTATTTGCAAGCAGCCAGGTGCTTATTTTTTTGTGAGGATTTCCTGTTTATTTGTTTCGGTCTTTTTTTTTTCCTTCTTTGACTGGATTGTGTGTCATCTTCTAGGGTTTTGTAGTTGAGTAGTATCCCATGGTTGAGGATGGTCTGGATTATGGTGTCCAGCTGTTTTCCATGGGTAAGATTCTGTTCACTCCTTGTTCTTTCCTGCCCTGTATCCCAAAGATCCCTCAGGCCTGGGCAGAGGCTATGCTATGAATGAGGTGCTCTAGCAACCCACCTCACTCCCTGCTACCCTCTTTTGTGAGGATCAGACTTTTTTGCCATTCACATAACCTGGCATCAATTTGGCTGTATTATGGCAGCATGCATGGCCACCGAGCCACCTGAGGGACCCACTTGCATCACATGACAGGGCACTTGCCTTTTGTTCACACCACGCATGACACAATATGCACCTAACTGCACGATAGACAGGAGATGTTGGATCTTGAATTTTGGTTGTATGACTGATGGCCATGAAGTTGTAAGTTGAGGCAGAACTATGGTCTGTGAACCTGAAGTGACTCCATCAGTCTAAAAAAATTTAGAAGAGATGGAGTCTTGACTGTTTGCCTTTGTGCGATTCAGGTGTATGACCCTGACCTTTTTTGTCACGAGGACTAATTCTTAGTTTAAAAGAAGACCTGGTGAATGACTGGTATTACTTTGCTCGTTATTAAAGAAAGGAAGTGGTTATTTCTAAGCTCTCCTGAAGTTATTATTGTAAGCTTAGGAGTGGATCTTTACTACTGGAAACCAAGCATGGATATTGATATAGTTCATACATGGGCTAACAAGTTTTGTTTAGGGTCAGAGAATCTTATTTGGCCTACCATGGATATCCTTGATAGTGTAAACTCAGATTACACTTAACTATGACCTGTGAAAAAATTTAATTAAATTGCTTCAATGAAATTAAGAAACAAATAGACACAAAATATAAAATTCATAATAGAGTCCAGTTGCTATCCTTCTTCCCAGCCCCTGCTCTCCTGGCCAGGCAGCTTCTGAGGCTGAAATTACTTCATTTAAGTGAAGTCAGGTATCTAAAGCTCTATAACCAGCACTTATAACACAGTATAAAATAAATTATTACAGAATACTAAAGCAAAATATTTTTTTTAAGCTTTATTCAAGAGTCTGTGTAATCAGAGTTAGAAACAATGAATGTGATCTAATGGTGTAGGAGGTATCATAAGAATGGTTTG